ACACAAGTCCATGGTATTGTGTCATCAGCGCGGCCCCGCAAACGAGGTCGCATCGAGAGGTCGCCCCTCAACAATGGACGGCAAGCGACGTTTCTTGCTCAGAGTTTGCGATCATCGGTCGGCCCAGAAACCGCGGTCCTGCCTCTGCGCCCAGCTTCTGCAGCGCACATCCAACTTTAACTTCCACGCTCTTCCGTGCCCAAGTCCAGTCGGATGCAATCATTGACGGGAATACATTGACGACCGCCAACTTCCGCAAGTTGCCACTATGCAGCGAGCGCCTTGACCTGTTCCTCGAGCGGCGTCTTCTTGTAGCCGGTCACGGGCGTCCCGACCTCGACGCCACCGTTGAAGAAGCGGAAGGTTGGCAGCACCTGCACGTCGAGCGCCGCCTTGATGTCTTGGACGCCCTCTTCGCCCGTGTTCATCTTGACAAAGGCCTAGTACACGTCAATGAGCCTGCGCCGCCACGGTGCACAAAGTTATTACCACGTTGGGATAGTCTTCGGCGAGGATCTCGACAAAGCCAGAGATCTGCCGGCACTTGCCGCACCACGGCGCCCAAAAGTCGCCGACGACCGGCTGGCCCGTCGCGACGATCGCGTCCCACTCGACCTTGGTGCTAATGTTGTACATGCCTTCTTCGTCCTTGGTGAAGCCAGCGAGCGAAAAGGCGCGCGGCAGCAATCGCCGCGTCGCCGCCATCGACGTCACCGCCCGAGTCGACCGCGCCAGCATGCTGCGTGTCGGAAAATGCCTGGACCTTGCACTTGGTCGCGTATCCGGAGTATCCGGATAAAGTCGCGCCACCGGGAAGCGCTCCGAAGATCGCGTTGCGTCGGTCCGGGGTGTCGATGCACGTCGTGTATTGCCTCCTGCTTGTGTATGGTATACGTAACGGCGCTAGGAGCTATAGATATATATATGGAGAATAGCCACTGCGCCAAAGTCCCGCGCTTATGAACCTATTTCAAACTAATGTAAATACATGTACTGCAGCAGCTTGCTCCGTTGCGTTGGCATCGCCTAGCGTCCGCGCTTCGGTCCGCGACAAAGCGATCTCATGGCAAAGGTGCTTATAGATGAGTAGGTTCTAGCACGAGACGCGCCGATCGTAGATAGAGTATTACAATTGAAGCACCTCGCTCGTGGACGTCGGACGATTATTGTGGTGAGCATCGCAGCAAGCGCCATGTACGCGTCCGGTCCTATGGACAGCGTCACGCATCAAAGAGCTTGGTACTATGATACTGTTGCCGGCATTCGCTCAACCAAGGACTTGTGAATACATGTATTTATGTCCTTACCTCAACATTTGGAGAGCTCGGCATCTTTGCTGAAGCAGCGCCGCATTCGAAACTGAGAGATGCTTGCGTTTGATCTGCAGAATGGAACAGAACTGTTGCGCAATCGCGTTGTATTCACAGGAGGGAGCATGATGGCGAAGGGTCCTCTTCAGGCTACGCACACGCTATGGTCCGAGCGACGAGCGGTGGGAAGCTGCCCATGGAGTGGCTTGGCGCGCTTTCTTTTTCACTTTTTTCACGCGCTCGCTATTTCCCACGCTCGGTGTGTGTAGGGACGCGATGCAGGTTGCCGTGGCGCGTGCTCATTGGTGAAAAAGCATCTCCATTCAAAGCCTTCTCTTAAGTGCGATTCTGGATATTGCACCTTGTTTACATGGTCTCCGATCTAAAATCGCATGACAACAAATGTGATTGGACAAAAGAAGTGAAAAATACAGCGTTGGGGACGTGGATTGGTGGAATAACCATCGCACTTAGAAGAGAGCGTACTTTCGCCGCCCCAGTCGCCGCCACGTCAACTTCCATCTTGACCGACGATGGTGTATGGGCATCCCAATGGCGTCAACTGCGTGAAGGGCGAGATCCACAACGTGCTCAGCGTCATGCGCGTCAATGCGCGCTGGGCGTCTACCTCGCGCTTCAAGCGCGAGATCCCGACGCACACGCAGAGCCCGCTCTTGCGCCGCTTCAAGGAGCTCCACGTGCAGCTCGAGAGCGTCATGGACCTGAGCGACGTGGACACGCTCGATGTGCTCGAGCCCTTTGTGCACGTGATCGAGAGCGAGAAGACGAGCGGCATCATCACGGGCGCGGCGGTCTCGAGCCTCAACAAGTTTCTGCTCTACGGCCTCATTCCGCCGGACGGGCTGCGCGCGACCGAGGCCATCAACCGCATCGCGCTCTGCGTCTCGCGCTGCCGCTTTGAAGAGACGCACCGCGATGTCGACGAGATGGTGCTCATGAAGCTCATGGAGCTCCTCGAGTGCTGCGTGCGCTGCGAGGCCGGCCGCCTCATCTCGGGCGACAACATTTGGAAGATGGTCCACACGTGCTATAGCATTAGCTGCCAGGTAATACTTGGTCTCGTCTACGTGCTAGAATGCTCATGCTGCTCTAGCCGCGCGCCTCGATGCATCTCTGTCATACGGCCGAGAACACGTTGGCGCATGTGATCTTGACGGTCTTTGATCGCATTGCCGACATGGACCCGATCGTCTTGGGCGCCGACGAAGACGAAACTGAGCGCGAGGTAGACGCCACCTCCAAAAGCGAGTGCAAAGCCAAGCACGTAGGACAATGAGAGCGAGGTCGTTGTGCCCTACGGCATCCCGGTCCTCGAGCAACTCCTGACGTTTCTCAGCGACCTCATCAAGCCCAAGGAGAAGGAAGACACGACGATCCTCGGGCTGAGCTTGATCAACCTCGTGCTCGAGACCGCGGGCACGGGCCTCGGTGCGCACCCGTCGCTCGTGCACGTACTCCAGGGCAACCTCTCCAAGTACCTGCTCCAAAACTCCGAGACGACCGAACTCCACGTACGTGACCCTGTCGTTGTATCAAGGTATCAAGTCGAAACTAGGTGTTGAGTTTAACGCTGCGCGTGGTGTTTAACCTCTTCAACTCGATCAAGGACCACCTCAAGGTGCAGCTTGAAGTCTTCTTTACGAGCGTCCACATGCGCATCATTGACAGTCCGTCGTGCTCGGACGAGCAAAAGGTACAACATATATCAATCTCTCAATATAAAAAATTGGCGTAGGAGCTCGCACTCGAAAGTCTACTAGAATTTTGCCGCGAACCGGCGCTCATGCTCGACTTGTACATCAACTACGACTGCGATGTGCACTGCACCAACCTATTTGAAGTGCTCTGCAAGGCGCTGGCGCGCAATACGCACGTCACGTCCGTGGCGCCGGACGTGCCGCCGGTTTTCAACATTCTCAACCTCCTCGCCTTGGAGGGGTGCGTCTCGCTTGGTGCTCACGAGCTAAAGATTCTATGGGTTCTAGGCTCCTTGCGGTCCTCGAGTCGATTGCGCGTCGATGCCCGCTTGGCGGTGCGTCGTCGATGGCCGACGTCACGGGCTACGGCCTCGCGCAGATCCTGGATGTCCCGATGCCGTCGTCGTCGCTGCCAGTGCGTGTCGAGCATACCCCGTTTCTGTATACTGAGAGGACGGTAGACGATATCGCCCATGAGCTCGATCCGCGAGGTCATGCAGATGGTCATGTCGGACACCGAGTCGGAGACTGACGTGCATCTCGGCGGGTCGCCCAACGACCAGCTCGCATGGCTCCACACGGCGCGCGAGCGCACAGCCGAAGTCCTCCAGCAACGTATTCAACGACTTTGTCGCTCGTATCAAAAGAGAAATGTAGGCAAGCAGAGCAAGAAGCGGTATAGTTTGGCGGCCGACAAGTTTCACAACGAACCCAAGAACTGGGTCGCGTACGCGCAGCAACTCGGGCTCTTGCCGAATCCCGTGACGGCCGAGTCGGTCGCTGCCTTCTTCCATACGACGCCTGGTACAAACGCGTTGTCCGTCGCACTCGATATATAATTTCATGTAGGTCTGGACAAGACCAAGGTCGGCGAGTACCTCGGCGAAGGACCCGAGGACAAGTACCCGTTCCACGCCCAAGTCCGCGACGCCTACGTCGGTGCGTCCTTCCTCGTGTCTCCGATGGCGCAACTTCGTGCGATGGTAGGCATGTTTGACTTCAAAAAGACGACGTTGGACCAAGCGCTGCGCCTCTGCCTCTCGAAGTTCCGTCTTCCGGGCGAAGCCCAAAAGATTGACCGGATGATGGAGACATTTTCAAAAGAGTATTATCGCCAGATCCAGCTCGACAATCTCGGTAGGCACAGTCTCCGCCAAGAATCATCCAAGCCTCTGTCTAGACCAGCCGCTCGCGGATGCCGACGCGGCCTTCATCTTGTCGTTCTCGATCATCATGCTCAACACGGATTTGCACAGGTAGTTTGTTTTCGCATGTCTCAGATCTGAGATCGCGAACCTAGTGACCAGATCCAGCGCAAGATGACGGTCGACGAGTTTGTGCGCAACAACCGTGGCATCAACGCCGGACAAGACTTACCGCGCGCGTACCTCGTCGCGCTCTACAACAACCTCCAGGCCAACCAGATCAAAATGCAGACGGACGTCTCGGACCTCAACACGGACGACGCGATCGCGACAGTGAGTTGGATGGTATATCGCCAACCTGATGCCTTGTGATGTAGGTCGACCGGTACTCGGCGCAGTGGGAAGGCGTTTTGAAGCGCCAGCAAAATGTGGTCGGTGCGTCATTTACATCGAACGCGTCCGTGCTCAAGCTCCGCGCCGGTCGCCACGAGCGAGAGATGTTTCGGCTCATCCTCGACACGACAACGTCGAGCATTCTCACGGCGTTTGAGCGCACGGGCGACGAAAGCACGATGGCCAAGGCCATGGACGGCATTGCAAGCGCGACCAAGATCGCCATCTACTTTCAAATGGTGCCCGAAGTCAACAAGCTCATTGCTGCGCTTGCCGCGTACTTTGTCGAGTTTGCGCACGGCGTCATGAACGGCGAGCGGGTACGCAACTCGTGAGTGACATGCCGCTCATCCAAGGCGTAGGTGCACTTGCCGACGGTGGATTCGGCGAGCAAGCGTGGCCGCGCCGGCTCGGACAAGGGCGACAGCGTCCACGTGATTTTGCGCGAAGAAGAACGGTAGACTGGCCGACTGTTTACGGAAATATGACGTATTGTGACGGTGCCATTGGGTAGACAAAGCGGGCTCAAGACGAGCCGCACGCTGCGGACGCTGCAGCTGCTCTTTGATGTTGTTGCCAAGTACGCCGACTGCCTTCGCCAAGACGCTTGGACGTCGGTGGTCGAGTGCATTCTCATCTTCAACGAGCTCGACATTGCTCCGACTTCGCTCGTCGAAATGGACGGTCCGTGGACCAACGACATTTTTGTTGGGTGGCGTCGCTTACAGAGTGCGTAGACTTTGTCGACTCGCGCGGCGTGCCACTGCCGCCGGCCCAAGCCCACCTCTCGCCGCGCGCGCAGCAGGTTCCTCGATACAATGATAGTTTCGAGTGTTGATTTTCCATGACTAGTCGCTCGTCGCGGGCGTCTCGGGCAAGACGCGCGAGCGGTCGCGTCGGCTCGCTGAGCGCCAGGCCGCGCACCGCCAGCAGCGCAATCTGCAGCAAGGCGCGAGTAACGTGGCGTCGGGCGGCTTTTGGGACTCGCTCTCGTCGTATCTCTGGAGCGAAGACGACGACGACGTCGACTTGAACTACCCGCTCGTGAGCAACGCGCTGCGCGACTGCGTGGCGACGTGCGGCGGCGGCCTCCTCGAGCGCGACGCGTGGTTCCGCATGTGCCGCAAGCTGAGCAACGAGAGCTGCCTGCGCTTGCTCGAGAGTCTTCTCGCAGCGCGCGATCCGTTCAAGAGCGTGCTCCAGCACTCGACCGGCATTGTCGACTGGATGATGCAGGAAAACGCGATTTTGGCGCTCGAGCTCGGCATCAACCTCGTGCTCGTCAACACCCACCGGTTCCCGACGCTCTGGCCGGCCGTGCACACGTACGTGGCGCGGATTTTGCACAGCAAAGCCGACTTTGAAATGACGCTGCTCGTCGAACGCGTACGTCGCTCATTGGACTATTTTCAAGTTGACAGATTGATACGAAATGGATAATAGGTCGTCGTCAACGTGCTGCGCGTGTGCATTCGACTCTTCCATGACGACGCAGCGCGCCCTATGCTTCTCGACACGCTTGTCTTGCTCAAGGTGCGAGACGTTGTCGACTGATACATTGATAGTTATGTATGGGATGTGTAGGAGCTCGAGGCGCCGTCGCTGCAAGTGCTCTCGGAGCGCTTGGCGGCAGGCTTGCACATGCTCGTCAAGGCCAACGCCATGTACATGCACGACATGCCGATTTCGACGTGGGAGACGTTGTTCAAGTATGCATCTTCTCTCTCTATAGAAGAATATGGGTCGCCAATCATACCTAGCCTCCTGGGGCTCGTCGCTCAGTACCCGAACGGATGGCCCGCGACCCTCGACGCGCTCAAGCAGCTCGTCGCCGACGGGGTATGTGTCGCCTGTGCGCGGTGGGACGTTCACAACACTCTGGTCTATTGTAGGTCGCCAAAGACATTGTCGGGCTTTGGACGGGCGTGTGTATGCGCCTCATCAACCAGCGCACGGGCTTGGAGGTGGACGCGCTCAAGCTCTTGTTTGCGGTGGCCAATAGGTAGTCTTCGCCGTGATCGATTCCTATTCTGACGCGGTGGGCGTAGCGACGCGGCCGACGGGTGCTGGATCGACCTCATGCGCATCTTGCTCTCGTACCTCCAAGACGAGCGTCCCGCGGTCGCCCGCACCGCGTGGGACAGTTTGTATCGGAGCCTCATGCTGCCAGGCCACCCGATTGCGCCGGTCGTCTGGAAGGACTGCTTTGAAGAGATCATCTACACGCTGGACGACCGGTCTCGGTACGACGACACGTTCAATGAGATCTCAGATCTGATATGCCTCTCGTCTAGTAGCAACGGACCGGCGAAAGACTCGAAGGATCTGAGCTTGTACTCGACCACGCTCCTCTCCAAGGTGTTTTTGTACAACATTCAGACGCTCTCGGGTCTCGACTGCTTCCACACGCTCTGGCTCAACGTACTCCGACGCCTCGCGACCAAGTTGGCGCTGCCGCCAAGCGCGGGTACGTCGGTCGCGGCGCTCGAAGTGTACGAGACGACGTTGCATGCACTGCACAACCTGCTCGTGGTCATGACGGCCGAGGGCATTTTCGAGCGCACGTCAGCGCAGAGCCAGCAAGACGTGCTCACGCTCTCGTATGACCTCATCCGGTCGGTCTGTCCGCAGGTTCTGGACCAACTCCGCTTCGACTCGAACCCGGCCGACGCCATGGACGTGTACCACCAACCGACGCCGAGCGAGTCAACACAAGTGGAGACGCCGGTGGCGATTGAGATTGCTGTCGAGACCGAGACTAGACACGACGACGAGACCCGTGGAGCGTGCTAAGCATTTTGTACAACGAGTACACGTTGGTTTCTTGCAGTACAGCTTGTAGTACAGTTGTAGTCGGTATGCTATGGCGTTAGTCGGTGTCGGAGCCACTGCTGTAGCCGAAAAACGCAGCGTCCCATCGAGGTTGGGGCAGCGGACTCACGTGCCAGTGCCGCGGGGTCGAGGATGCGGTGGCGTCGTCGACGGTCTCGGGACCGATATTGGCGGGGGCGGCACGGCGCATTTGTACACGGCGCTTGGCCTCGGCCCGTGCTTTGGCCGCTTGATTTGCCCGGTCTTTCTCATCTTGCACCCACCCTTGGAGGTCGGACGACGACGCCGATGCGTCATCGCTGTTGTTGGACTTGACCGCCTACGGCACATTGGCGTCACGCGTGTTGATGAATCTTGATTGTACCGCCCGCCGAGCCACCCGCCGCTCCATTGCAATCTTGTGGCGCTCCGAGCGCAGCTGCGACGACTCGGTCTACATCGAGCTATCCAACACCAGGAAGGACTGAGAGGTGGCGTACGTGCAACGCTTGGAGCGAGGCTTCGAGCGCCGTTTTCTGGGCTTCCAGCAGCTGTCGGTGGCGGTCGAGGTCGAGGTTTTGCTGCACTTTGGCGTCGCACGCCAGGTCCATTCGGCGTTGCTGCGCCGCCTGTGCTGCGGCCACATCGGCGCGGTGTTGCGCCTCGATCGCTGCCTCGGAGGCTCGCTGTGCACGGTACTGCTCCAAGTGCTCGATTCGATCGAGAAATGGCGTACTCGACACGTTCTCTAATCAAAACACAAAATGTAAGCATTGCGGAGGGTGTTGACGGACCCTGGATGGGGCCAAACTTGGTCATGGGATCGATCCGTGGCGAGGGTGTCGTCGGTCGAATCGGCTCAGACGGCGGGGAATGGGGCATGGAAGCGGCCAAGTGCGAGAAACTTGCGCTGCGACTGTGCTTGTTAGCCATTGCCTATGTATTGATAAATGGCCTGCAAATTCCCATGTCGCAACACAAACAGGGCTAGGGGTCGTGTGTTTGGCGGACTTTCGAAGCCCGAGGATGGTGTGGCGGCGGGGAGGGACGCGCTCGCTCCACGCATCCGTGAGCACGCGTGGTGGCACTGGTTGCCGCGGCGACGGCACTTGGTTCGGAGACGCTGGCGCAGGCACTGGTCGGAACGCTTGTTTCCGAATGGATTCGATTTGCTGCAGCTGTGCCTCACGGCGCGACTGCTGCTCTGCGGCCAGCGCGGCCTCGGCCTTCAAGCGCAACTCCTTGTCCATCTATGATGTCCCAAAAGCCAATGACCCTCTGTACGTCGGCCTCGTCACACCTGAATTTTCCGCGCGCGTTCCTTGGTCACGGAAATGGCGTCGTCCACGAGCTTTTGCTTGATGGCCGCGAGCTCGGCGGCTTTGGCAGCTTCGGCGGCTTTGACAGCCGATGGAGCCCTACTCTGCGATCAGGACACGCGTGCGAATCGTCTGCTACCTTGGTTTCTTGCGCTTGAGGCGCTTGGGCTTGCGAGGTGTTGTCGCGGGTTTGACTTCGGGGACCGGTGGCGAGAGTGGCCGTGCGTGGCGCGGCGAGGGCCGCGGGGACCGAGCCGAGAGCGGGGCAACCACAGAGGCTTCGAACGAGTCGAGGCACTTGTCGAGCAGCCGCGACGCACGGTCAATCGGGTCGTCGTCATCATCGAGCTCGGGGGTGGCGATGGCGCGCGTGCGATCCCGTGCGTGCTGCATGACGAGGCGCATTTGAGCTTCATGGTTGGCAAAGTACGCTCCGATCTTGCCGACAATGTCCATCGCGCTAACCTGAAACGGACGCGCTACGGGATTTTTTGTTTTTTTAAACATCTCGACACCACAATCTTGCATCGCTAACGTGGCGCCACGTAAGCGGTGCTTGGCGCACGTGTCGTGGCAGCAGTGTGCATTGCCAAACGCAGCGAGCGACTACAGTGTACATATGTCGTTGCCACCAGTCGACATTGAATGCTACGACCTCTTGACCCCAAGCATGGGTGCTGTTGCCAAACTCGATCTTCACGCAATCACACTGTACTTGCTACGCCCGCATGGGACAACTGATCATGCATCGGCGAGCGCCGAGTGGTGGTCTGTTGAGCCATGAAGCGACTCGGCTTTCCAGCACGTCGACTGGAAAATTGGATAGCCAAACCAAGCGGTGTGCGTGCAAGGATCAACAAAGAGATACTACTGTTGTACTACTTCTTAATGCTGCAACCTCGTTGAATTCAACGCTGGAAGCACAACCGTTGCCAAGGCTACAAGCGGCTGCGCTCGGTATCATGGGTACCGTGCGTCAAATGTTGTTCAAATACCGATACTCGAGTACGTCATGCCTGTGAGCAACATGCATGACGGCCGTGCGCTGGTGGTGATCACAGCGATCCTTGACAGACGCTTGCACGACGGAAATTTAGCTGGCGTCAGAACAGTGGAATCGGGTGCTCTTTTTCCCAGCGACGACTCTGCCAAGATGCGAGAGAACGTCGTCAAGAACGGCCTTTGCAGTGAATCCGAAAGTGGCTCTTTCCGGGACTTGAACCCGGATCTCCTGGTGGTAGCTCCTGATGGTAAATCAGTGTCTGAACCGCTAACCTTAAAGAAGTCGACAAGGACACGCCTTCTGGACTCCGTGGATCCAGTTCTAGCACGTTCTAGTTGGTAGATCAAATAGCCAACTGCAAGCGAGCCAACTGCACATGTGCACTTGGCGAACCACACTCGCAGTATTGGCTCCCACCGCGGTCACAGCACAGCAATGCACCGACATGCACCGAAGGCACCAACGATCGTACGACCTCTCAATGCGACCTTCATGCCAGAGATCTGCAAAATGACCCATTGGCCCATGACCCATGACTCGGCTCGGCCCAACCCGGGCTCGTGGGCCGAGCTGGGTGGGTCGAAAAACAATTGTGGTGGGCCGGGTTGGGCTGGGTCGGCCCGAAAAAAACATGGGTTGGGTCCGGGTGGCACATGGGCAGTGGCCCTGACCCATGCTGACCCACGTAATCGTCAGCGAATGGCGACGACGTCCCATGACGACTCGTGGCTTCTGAATGCGTGATGCGGTCATGCCACCGAGAGCTCCGCCGACTCCCGCCTCGTGAATGCCGACAGCTAATATGTGTGAATAATGACCCCAGTTTTGTCATCTCTCGACAACACTTCAGTCTTCTTGCGGTGATCTTCATGTCCTCAATCCGTGACTTGCTTTCGTCTCCCGGACCAAGCTCTTCGCCTGCCGCTACGACTCCCTCTCACGTGTGCCCAACATGCCCAACAAGTGAGCTTGTTACGGAGGCCAGAGCCATCGGACGCGCGCTTTCCTTGCGAAACCCCCAGTTCAAGCTGGGGAAACCACCGAAAGCCACATCCATGTGCTGGGACCGCTTTCGGGTAGTGCTCAAGGACAACGTTAAGGCTGCGATAAACACAGCCCCTGGATAATACTTTGTGGCATGCAAGCAGTGCTTTCAAGTCTTCAACATGCAATCCGCATTTGGTACAAGCTCGCTCAACCGCCACAAGTGCCCGGCACTCCTGTCGGCGGTGTCAGAAAAGACACGATGAGCGGCCACAGACTTGCCAGCGCTTTCGCTTACATCCCAGTAGCGAGTCGAGAATCTCCTCAATGGCAACGACACCATCGACATGGCCATCGACTGGCCCACCTCGCGTTTCGCCATCATGGCACAGCCCTGCCACCAACAACACAGACCAGCATCTTGGACCACGCGATGACCCCCACGGTGAACGCGGAGGCGAAGAAGGCAGCGAAGTGCGCATGTGTGACCCTCTGCTCTGAGGATTCCAGCGCCAGCTGCGTGGATATCGAGATGAGCGCTACTTGGCGATGAAGGTTGCCCCCGAAGAGCGCATCTCCTACTCCGTACTCGAGTGGTGGAAGAAACAAACGAGTATGCCTGCGCTTCAGTTCGTCGTTTGGTGTGTCTTCGCCGTGCCTGCGTCCAGTGCCAAGTCCGAAAGTAACTTCTCGGATGCTGGCATCACTATCACGAAGCTGCGCAATCGCCTGAAGCCTGGCGTCGCCAACGACATTTTGTTTCATCGCTCCTTCCTCAAAGACAAAAAGAATATGTGAGGCTCCCTCTGTTTACTTGCTGCAAAATTACCCCTTTTATATCCGCCGCCTATATTGCTCCTCTGAGATTTGAACTCTCTCTTTCTGAACGCTTGTATTCCACCCGCACCAAACTTTCTCTTTTCTTCTTCGTCCTCAATGGTTTTGATTGGAGATTTTACATTAGACCCATTGACCCATGGGTCAATGGGTATGGGTCGGGTTGGGCTGGGTTGACCTGCCCGGACAATGGGTTGGGTCTGGGTGGGTCGAAGACCCCATGGGCCGGGCTGGGTGGGTCGAAAAATATTTTTCAACCAATGGGCTGGGCTGGGTGGGTCAAAAAATCCCATGCAGATCTCTGCTTCATGCCACCGGCGCACGTCGGTACATTGCCGTGCTTGCAACGGGTCCGCTGCGATATGTCCAAGGCGCCGGTGCTCTATTTCAAGTTTGGGTGCGTCTTTGACGTGGCGAATCTCTGTGACAACCAAGCAACCTAACAACGCCACGCAATCCCACTGCTCGCTGCTTCGATATCGACTTTGCCATTTGCCATTTCCCATTTTACACCATGCGCATTGCGACCCGCCACTCGAGTCCCGAGACGCGGTCCTCGTTCGCGTCGTCGTCGTCGTCGGTCTCAACCCCGATGGTGACGCTGTCGCTGCCCGACGTGCGCCACCACCCGACAACCAACGCCGTGCACATCAAGGTCCCCGAGCTCCACGGGGTGCTGCAAGAACGCAACTTTTCCAAGCGCTTTCGGTGGCTGCAATGGAAGCGCCAAAAGACCTCGGACGCCACCGACTGCTGGGTCGACTTTGACGGCTACACGTGGCGATGGTTCCCACGCACCGGGCCCGGCGTGTACAAGTCGTCGCCGACGCACGTGCTCTCGATCAATCCGCTTTCGCGTGTCGACGTCGCCGTCGACGGCAGCTGCTTCCAGCTCTTTGACGACGGCAAAGCGTTTACATTTTACACGTCGAGCCACGACCAGTGCGCATCGTGGACGACAGCGCTCGAGGCGGCGATGGTCGCCCAAGCATATCTGGCCAAGTACCACCTCGGGCCGGTCCTCGGGTCGGGCGGCAGCGCGTTCGTGCACAGCCTCGTGCTGCAGAATGCGCCGACGGACCTCGTTGTCAAGCTCGTGGTTGGTCAGAAGGACCTTGTCGAGAACGAGATTGCAATTCTGTGTCATCTGTCGACGGCGTCGCCGGCCTTGCAAGCGCATGTGCCATCGCTCGTCAAGGCCTTTGACCTCCAAGAGCAGCAGGCCACCGGTCTCGTGCTGCCTCGCTACGATGGCGGGTCGCTCCACGATCGTATGCGGAGCCTGCCCCCGCTCTCATCGGCCAACGTCGCCTCGCGGGAAGCGGCGGCAAAACGGCTCATGCGCTCGCTGCTCGGCATCTTGGAGCTTTTACACGGCGCCGATGTGCTGCACCTCGACCTCAAGCCGGCCAACATCCTCTTCAAGACCCTCGAGGATGATTGCACGCAACTCGTGCTCATCGACTTTGGCCTTGCGATGCGGCCGAGTGCCTATGACCCCAAGAACGCACTCCACGACGCGGTGCGGGGTACACCAGGGTACCTCGCACCCGAGCTGCTCTCGATCGGCGACGACGGTCCGCTGCCCGTCTCGAGCGCCACGGATGTCTTTAGCGCCGGTGTTCTTCTGTACAACTACCTTCTCGGTGTCGCCCCGTTTCAAGGCGCGACCAAAGGACAGCTTCTGGAGCGCATGCGCCAAGGGCAAATGGTGCGCCCGCAAGCGACATGGGCGCTTCTGTCGGCCGACGCGCAGGACTTTGTCATGAGCATGCTTCAACGCAAGCCGCGCCATCGGGCGTCAACGTCGACGCTGCAGTCCCATCCATGGCTCGCAGCCACCAACTAGGCGTTTGTAGCAGCACTTGCACACTCTATTATTTATCAACACTTTGTCAACTCTTCTCAGTCTATCCTGCAGCGTCAACTCGGTGTAGGTACAACGTTAGTATTAGACAAAAGAGGTCGTCCCGCACTCATGACCTTTCCTGGTGGATCGGCAACGAATGCCTGTGATTGGCCGCTACGACGGTATGGTTGCGTTTGTTTAGCTGCATTGTTAAGGTATTTTCAGGACCGCACCGTAAAAATACGAGTGGCTCTCCAACCGCGCCGCTCTGGTCATGGAAGCCCCTGGATAGACCACGTACGACGTCTTGTGTATAAGACGCGTGCATGAGGCACCATGCTGTCGGCTGTCTTACTACTGTCGACGTCGCGGGCGTTGATGGACCTCAAGTGGACGTTTTTGGACCATCTCGAGATTCCCGTAATTCAAGCGATTTGGACGCTAATTTGATTCGCCAGAGACCAAGAAATCAGCATGTCGACCGACGAGACGCCCCAAGAGATGCCCCAAGAGATGCTCGCGCTGCCAGCGTCGACGCCGACGCCCGGCGGTGCGCCGATCAACGTCACCGCGGGCGGCAACGCGGTCGCGCTCGACCACCTTGGGCCCATGGTCGTGCAGGTGGACGGGTCGCTCATGCGCATCACCGACTGGGCGACCAAGACGGACCACGAGAAGGCCATGATCCAGCGCGTGATTGCCAAGCGCAACAAGGAGCGGCTCGACGCGCTTCTGCTCGCCCAGGCCGCCGAAATGGACTAATGCACTTGGCACTCTTCCGTTCTTTGCTCAAGGCAACAAACTGTGTGGGCACGAGCCACGAGCATGACGCATCGCAGGCCGCGACAAGGCGGGTGGTCGGGCATTCATTCACTTGAAGACAGCATCTTGGTGATCATCGTCGCAACACGTGGCCAGGTCGCCTCTGCGTAGCAAGCCAGCCACGTACGAGGCGCTGCACCGTAGTGCGCTGACCGAGCGGGCGTTCTCCAAACGACGCTCCGAGCATGCCCAATCCTGGAGCTGCATATGCTGATAGCGCAGCTGCCGCCCAGCCATTTTCCACCCGAGTCGAGCTGTGTCATCCCGTGAACCTCCATCACGCGTACGACTTTTCCAAGGAAACGTAAAGACTCGAGTGGTATTGCCAGCATCGCGGACGGGTATTTCTATCAACTTGATACTTATGCGGTCTTCTTGTCCTTGCTGGCGCGGCGCGGCGTCGTCAAATTGAAGTAAACGAGCAGCACGACCACGGTAATCGGCGGCGCAAAGTACCACGAGCTCCAGATACGCACGCAGCGCGGCAGATCCAGAATCTCGAACGCAATGCCGGCGTACTGCATGGCGACCCACGTGAAGAACATACCGCCCAGATCGTAGAGAAGCGCGAGCGGGTGCGCCTTCTCGGGCGAAAAGTACTCGAGAAAGACCGCGTGCGGGTGCGCCTTGCGGTCTTCCGTGTAGTGGAAGAGCGACCGGTAGCGCCGGCGAATGTCTAGTCGCGAAAATGAGTCGACAAAAATTGACCAAATGCATCGTCGTACGCTTGGCAACTTCAATGTACAAGGCGCCCATGATGAAAAAAATGTAGTAGCCCGGGGCCAGACCGTGCCAGAGCGCGCTGACCATGAACGACGCCAGCGTCGAGAACGCCGTCGGCTTGCCCTTGCGCAGTGCCACGCGCTGGTAAACATCTACATAGCACATAGCAGGATTAAGATGTCAGCAAAAAAAGCTTCAGGATGGAGCCTACAGGTGTTGAGCCACAGCGCGACCTTGATGTTCCAGCCGTTGATCGCGACGCGCATGTTGACGGGAAGCTCCACAAACAGAATGTTGTTGTTGGTCAAGCCGTCCCTAAGAAGTGAGTGCGTGTCGACACATTTGTCATTTGAGAAATGAGGATATACCATTGGTTGCGCTCGGTCGAGTAGCCGTAGCCGGCCAAGGCGCCGCCGAGCTCCGCGAGTGACCACACCATGTACTATAAGATCTGAGGCGTCAGAAGACGACGTGGCCTCATATGGACGTACAAAGCGGAAGCGGTACAAAGCGACCGAGAGACACTGCAGAAGGCAGCGCGCGACGAACGGCAGCTCGGGGTAGAACGTCGGCGCGTCAATGGTCTCGATCGGAAAGTTGTCCGAGACGAAGAAGAGACCAATACACATCTACAACCACGTCAGGAATTTCAATATGGGCATATATGGATGTGGGTGGTACGTACGATGGCCAACAAGAGATTCTTGGCGTGGACAGTCCACGGCGCGACGCGGTGGGTTGTCGCCCACGCGATATACTCGTGAAACTCAAAACCAGGGCCGACGAGAAACGTCGGGAAAAAGTAGATGAACCCTGCAGCGTCAACCTCAACACTCAAACTCAAAAACGCCAAAGTACGTACCGAGAAGCTCGAGCAGCGACGGAATTTCGCGCAGCTGGTTGCGCAGCATGGTGGGCGTCTTGATGTCGTCCGAAAGCGCGCCGTCGCTGTAGCTCAGCGCGAGGCCCGTGAGCTTCATCGTGAGCACCATCTGCGCCGAGTCCCAGACCAAGTCGGGCTCGTAGTGTTCGCGGTAGTAGTGGCAGCCAATAAGATACACAAACAAGACGACCGCCACGACGCGGCCTACGATCGCGCTACGCCAAGCGCATGAGGCGACAAGGCCAAGGAGGATCGACGTACCGCGGCGCCGCAAGCATGAGCAGGTACGTGATAGCGATCGCCAGCACCGAGTGCACGAGCATGTAGTCAAAGACAAACCAGCCGACAGCAAGGCCCAGCGCAACGTTGGCCACGTGACCTACTATGGGATTAGACGACGATATCGCTGAGGCGATGGCGGGCGTACGCAGCGGCGCCGACGGCAGCACGTGGTAGAGCGGCGCGACCGCGCAGCAGGCGGCGAGAGCGACAAAGATGCGGACGGCGTTGACGGGCAGGCCCTCGTCAGCGCAGATGGCATCGAGGGCGGCGCGGCCGGGCACAATCGGCGGCGGCAGTTCCATTGAAATCCAAAAATGACCATTCATGGCGTATGCACCAATCAGCGCGCAGCAGGATGGCGTTGACGTGAACCGTGACGTCACACGACTGCTTGCATGACGCATTGCTGGACACGGTGCCACGTCATGACTACCGTACGAAGGCATGTGTGCGCAGTGTCAGTGTACAATAATTGTACTACTTGGTATAATAGTACTGTACTACTTGTAGAATATAGTCTATTGGGACCCGCGGTCGAGCCGTTCGCGTGAGCAGGCGAAGGGATGACAACCAAATGAATATTGCTTCGTCTGCCTCTTGGATTGATGCCGGCAGAAGTGTGCATCCTTGGCAACTCGGCGTCACAGCACTCAAACTACTTGGCCGTCCAGTCCGACGGTTCTGCACTCTGCGACAGTCGCATCGGTGCTCCAGGGTTGGACGTAACGTTAGCACAGTTTGGCTCCTACTACCCCACGGACAGCGTGGACAATCAAGTTGATAATATAACGTCACCAGTAAACTAGTACTTGCTAGTCTGCGTATGCGATGTCTTTGTAGAACGAAGATAGCGCGAAACACATTTATGTATGGTACAGTAGTATACGAGCGCAGTAGTACATTATTAGTACACCTAGCTGCTCGGGTTGCTTGAGCTTGAGATATTGTGCTCCTCTAACAAGACTGAACAAGTTGGAAGCAATATACGTCCGGTAGAGTCAAAGGCGAGGCAACTTGGTTTTTCGTTTGCGGTTACAATTCGGCTCTTCGCATTGGCCTCAGTCGTCTCGATTGCTCGGTCTGACGCGCGTCCTCAGTTTACGAATGCCTGTCAAAAGCGAGTCACAGACATTGGAAGCGCATCAACGAGTTGCTCTTGTACCGGCAACCGACAAGTCGACACGCATCGGGTAACGGCTCCTGTTCCTTATGCATGCAGTCGATACATGTATCTCAGTTCTTATCGTGCAGAAATCGTGGTTGCGGGATTTCTGGGTCTTGAACAGCTGTTTCGGCGCCCTTGTTGTCCACGACGCAACGTGTGATCCGTGCAATAATGGTTTTCCCTCGCAGTGTACGACCCGCAGGCGGCTTGAAGCACTGTATCAAACTCTCCAAGTTGACAATTCATCATTCGACCATGTCATGTTGCTAGGCGCAGGCTAGCAACATGCGCCTTACCTGTCAACTATACCGTGTCCTGGACGACCCAAGGCTATCTTGATCGCTGCATCGAAAGTTTATGTACAGCGGTGGAAGGAATACAAGGAGGTTAATATGACCTCTAATCCAGCGATCTGATTGGCTGAACGGGCCGGCCGAACTGCATCATCGAGACTTTATAAAATTTATTGTGAAAGGTATAAAGATGTGTGGGGAAGCGATATGGGTGTCGCCATGTGACGTGTCACGGCCATTCCGCGATTGGGTATCGTCTTGCAGACGATCCAGCCGAGCATGAGGCCAAAAAAGCGTCGCCAGCGGTGCAAAGTCACAGAGAAGGTGGAGGCCATTAAGATGATGCAGACGAGACCTTTTGACGAGGTCAGTAAGGTCCTGAAGATCCCCTTTGGCTGTGTTGACTGATTACTAATCATGATGCGTAATCACTAGGGCCACGATGCGTCATCACAATCCACACAAATCGTAGATATCATATTCAAAAGCTTTTATGGCTTGACACAGGATATGAACTGCAAGGGGTTTAAGTGTCTCACCGGCCGGCCCGTTCAGCCAATCAGATCGCTGGATTAGAGGTCATATTAACCTCCTTGTATTCCTTCCACCGCTGTACTACTAATAGTACACGATGGTCAGGTAAAATAGGATGTATCCAATACTCTTGTCGCTCAACTGGAAAGAAACAGTTTACAGCTCTAACGACACAACGTTCTCAGCTGCCATGTCCTCCGCACCACTCCCATGTCCCACTTAAATCCCCTACAAGCCAGTCGTCCACAGCAGCGACCACAGGTTATGGACAACCCGTTTCTTTCCACAACGACAGAGTTTGGGGATAAAGTATTTTAGAAAGGCCCGGTGACCATGGGCACAGCGGCGGGACCATGGCAAGTGCTCGCTTCTGCTCTCCCGATGACCACATATGCACGAAAGAAAGCGAGGACAACAACCACGATCATTGTCTTGTGCTGTGTCGTTGCACTGCCGACCACCCTTAAAATTGGCATCCTAAGCTCAGTGTCCGTCTTAGTACTGCCCAATCGACCATAGCTGGCAACACCGTCGACAGAGCATCGAACGAGCTCAGTGCATAAAGTGTCGTGGATGTCTGTCGTGCTCGATCATCGCTCGTTGCTTGCAGTGGAGGTAAGTGCCACTTTCTCCATACTCTCTCACTTGGCGCCATCTGGTGGCACCACCTGGCACCGGCAACTCAACCATACACAGCGCACAACTAATGGCCCGACGCATCGCAGCCAACACCGTCATCCGATGAGTTGTGTGGCGGCAACACAGCGTGGTGCTCGAGGAGCCATTCTCTAAATTCACTCGTCGATGCACCCAACGTCAAAAACAACAACGCCGCCGAGCATGATGCTTGCGTCGTCGACGACAAGCGACGAGACGAAGGCACAGTCGGCGCTCGAGAAGAAGCGGCTCTACAACAAGCACCGGAATCGTGCATTCCGGCGGCTGGAAGCCGAAGAAAAGACGCACTTGACGCACGAAATCGAGCAACTGGAGGCTAGAATTGTGCACTTGCGGCACACGAAGCCCGCGAGCGCGCTTACGTGGCGTGATATCGCCACGGTCTTTGTCGCCGAGCTTAGCGAAAGCCAAGCGCAGGCTTCGGCCCTCCGCGTCCGCGTCAAGCGCTACGTCGCCACGCGCAAGGCTCTAGAAAAGTGGCTGCAGCATGCTACGCCGGTACGATCTTGTCACCGACGATGGATTGCGCTCATCTTTTGTCTGCTAGACGGGCGCTACAACACTGCTCGCCCACAACGAGGCGCGCCAGATTGCGTACGACTGGATTGGCCAGCGGCTCTGGCACAACGTCCCAGCAGTGCTGTCGAGCGTGGACGCACTACCAAGCAGCGACGGCCGCCACACGGTCGTCAAGCCGGTGGGGGACTCGTACCAAATGACCACGTGGAGCGACCGCGTCGAGCGCATGCCGCTGCACGACGTCGCCAAGGGCCTCTACGCCGTTCATTTCCAAGCCGACGGCGCTGCGATTCTGGACACGCCGGGCACCGACATGGTGTACCTGCGCTTGCCCTCGACGTTTGGCGCACTCCGAGCGCAGCCGTTTGACGAAAATGTCCTCGTGTGCCAATGGGCCATCGACGACGCGCGCTACGTGGTGTGTGCGCAGAGCGTTGTGAGCGACGAGCTGCACCAGTCCAGTCCGCTCACGCAACAGTGGACGAGCTGGACGATCGCGGACCGCGTGGATGCGCACTCGACTCGTGTCGTGCACTGTCGGATCATGGGCGGGTTGAGGCAAGGTGACGGCACACAGATGCCATTTACGCTCGAGGAACCAAACATTGCCGATGGAGACCCAAGTCAGCGGTGGCAGTTTTTGGTGCACGCAAGAGTGGACTACGCGCTGCACCTCGAGGCGCATCAAGGCGCGCTGCTCCAGCGCGCACTGGCCCGCAGTGGCTAGCACGCACTGGCCCGCAGTGGCTAGCACGCACTTGAAAGTAACAAAGTTATTTATTCAAAATGTTGCCGAATTGATCAGCCGCTGGCGATTGACGTGCATCGTACACGATAGGTCCCGGGAGGGGCCTTAGACCATTTTTACCCGAGGCCACGACGCGGTAGCTGCACTTGTTACCAGCGGGAGCCAAAAGGAATGGAGGAACCGGGGGTCGAACCCGGGGCCTTCCGCATGCAAAGCGGACGCGCTACCACTGCGCTATACCCCCTTCACGCCGTAGACATAGTTTTGAAATATATTGATTGGTAAAGCTCATCGAAACGAGGAAGGTTTTAATTTCTTGCCCAGGTACAACCTAGTAACGGGATCTTGGTAAATTTGTCTCGAAATTCCTACTCAATAATCGCTTTTCAATAGTGTCATTCTCGTCAAATTGAACGTTAGGATTGGTTGTCTGTTTGAACGGGTTTTGCTTCGAGCGCTCCTGTCAGGAGGGTAGGGAGAAAGCACACTCATTCCATAACGTGCTCTCGGTGATGACATATCCGTCACGATGCCCAAGATCCGCCGTGACGTGGCAGCACGACGCGCCTCGCATTTTCATCCAATCCCATGCATCATGCGCTGTATTTTGGCCAATCCACGTCAAGACGCAAATCCAGCTGGTCACCAAACAAACAGCAAAATGGGCGAGTCGGTCGTCGTCGTCTCGGTCGTGCGAGGCCGCGACCTCCGCGTTGTCCAGAAGCTTGGCGTACAGGACCCGTACGTGGTGCTTCGGCTCGGTACGTCGGCCCCGCGTCGGTCCGAGACCCACGACAACGGCGGGACGACGCCGATTTGGCACTGCACCGAGACATTCACGGACGTCCCGTCGCCACTGCCCGTGCTGCAGATCGACATTATGAACAACAATTGGCTCCGCGACAAGCCCATTGGCATCTGCGACATCGACCTCAACGACGTCTTTCGGCGGGTGAGCGTCGCTGAAGCGTGGTTTCCCGTCAAATTTGAAGGCGCACGCTGCGGCGACCTGCACGTCAAGCTGCAGCGCCCGTCACCGAGCCCTCGCACGCGCGCTACGTCGTCGTCGTCGTCGACCAACAACACCGTACTCGGCTCGATCGCCAACGTGCACTCGGCCGTCGCGATCGCAGAGCTGCGCGATGAGAACGCACGCCTCCGAAGCGAATTGGCGCAGCTTCGCCGCCTCTTGCCACAGCAGACCTTCCTCCACGCACCCAGCTACAGTACAACGCCCTCTCTTTTCACGTCCTAAGCTCCTGTAGTGGCCGACATCCCGATCGTTTCGAGCGCGAGCGACCTCCAGCAGCTCCAGCCGATTGGCACTGGCGCCCACGGGACGGTCTATCGCGGTCTCTACAAGAACGACCTCGTCGCTATCAAGTGCCTTGACCAAGTCGAGGACCTGACCACGTTTCACCGCGAAGTCTCGGCCATGTTCAAGTACGACACGACCATCTTTGTCGCATCGTGCCTCATGATTCAAACCTGGGTAGGCTGCAGTCGCAGCACACAGTGCAGCTGCTCGCGATGGCCGACCTCGACACCAACCAGCCCAAGATCGTCATGCCCTACATGGTCCACGGCGATCTGCGCACGCACCTCGATAAGTGCCGCGCCAACGAGCGCACGGGGTGCACGCTGCCGCACCAAGCCATTGCGGTCGCGGTCGCCGCCGCACTCGTGGACCTGCACAAGTGCAACGTCATCCACCGGGACCTCAAGCCCCAAAATGTCCTCTTGTCCACCGACAACTTGGTCCAGGTCGCAGACTTTGGCATTGCGCGCGAGAACGGACTCCGCTCCAAGACGGCCGACATGGGCACGCCCTTCTACATGGCGCCCGAAGCGACGTCGACGAACCATTATGGCACCGAAGTCGACGTCTACGCGCTCGGCGTGCTCCTCACCGAGCTCGACACGAATATGCGGCCGTACAGCGAAGACTGCCCGAATGAATATGCACTGATTCTGCAAGTCTCGGAAGGTCGTCGACCGCTGCTCTCGCTCACGTGCCCGCTCTGGTATTATGAGCTGGCGCACAAGTGCATGGCCGCCGACCCGATCGACCGCCCGACGGCCGCGCAGGTGCACAAGTGCCTCTCGCTGCACGCTGGCCCGTACACAACGACCACCAGCGGCGTCCCGATTGTTGCGGCAACCGACGTGCCGTTCGTGAGGCAGCTTGCGCCGTCAACCGAGCTGGCACGGCATGGCTCGAGCCCGGTGGTGCTCAAGACAGTGGCTCCGGTCCTGGCGGATGCGCGGGCATACGAACGTCATTTGGGCAATCTGTTTGCGTACGCGTCCAATGGGATGACCCCAAACTTATTCTGGTGTTGTAGTCTGGGTGCGTCGCCACATCTGGTGCGGCTATGTGGTGTCATCGGCGGCGCTTCGTCCAAGCTCGTGCTCGAGTTTCTGGACGGCGGCGACCTCGTGACGTGCCTCGCGCAGCCCGAGCCCCGACGGCGCGTGTCCAAAGTCGATATTGCGACCGGATTGACGCGAGGTCTCGACGCACTTCATGCGCAGGGCATCATGCACGGGCACCTCGACGCCAAGCACGTCTTTTTCACGACCAGCGGCGTTCTCAAACTCGCGAGCTTCAAATTCGCACCCACATGCACGTTCGCGGACGATGTGTTTGCACTCGGGAAGCTGCTTGCCCACGTCGACGCTGCATATACGCGGTCGTCGGCCCAAGACCCCGTGCTCGCATTCATCATTCAGCGCTGCTGCGCCAACGAGCCTTCCGCCCGGCCATCCACCGCCGATCTTGTCGCCTGCCTCGAGGCGGCGTAACCCTTTGGCTTTGTGTCTAGTACAATGTAGTGTCGCCACTGCCATCGAGCATCCGTCCCTCGATTCCTCCAACGTGCTTTCCTTCATTCTTCGGATAATTTTAGTTTTTGTCTTTTTTAACCCTAGCCCCACCTAACCCTGCCTCTGCACCGACTGTTCAGAGATCAACATCAAGATCACCATAATCATCATTCTACAGGGTGGTTGGACGCATACAAAGAATCTACTATCGTGTCGGGTGCGTTACCGCTGGGCGGCGACGGGGCTGCCCATCGGACTCGGCTCGGGGCTCATCGAGTCGATGCGCGCGGTCGCGTTCTCATATCGAATCTGCGCCAGCGTTTGCTGAAACTTGAGCACGTCTTGCGCAAAGATGCGCTGGTGGTACACGTGCGTCTTGTGCTCGAACTGTCGAAACTGAACGACGGGGTCGGTCGACAGCGCCGTCGACGGGTCTTGGTCGAACGGCAGGTACTGGTCCTTCATGCGCAGCCCGTTCGCGACCGAGACCTGCTTGATGATGACGCGGTCGTGGCCGAGGCGCTCGGCGATCGTCCAGTTGGTCCAATTGCGCTGGATGCGGTCGAGCGGGTACTTCTCGTCGTCCGTGATGCTGTGCGTGAAGACCACGTACCGGTTCTCGTCGAAGAACTGGCGCGCAAGGATGTTCTGGAAGTACGAGTTTTGCTGCGTCGCACCGTACGGCGACTTCATGCGAAAGTACATGATGTTCGGGTCCGGCATGTCGAGGAGCCCGTCCGGCTTTTGAAAATAGAGGCGCTGGAGCGTCTGCGTGACCTCGTCCAAGGTCGCATACTCGATGCGCTGGCGGGCCTTGACGAGGTGGTACGACGGGTCGTTCTCGAGCGGGAAGACGTGGACTTCGCTGCACGGCGCCATGGTCGACGGTAGTCCGCAGTGCTGGATCATGGCGTCAATGTTGTGGTAGAGCTGCTTCGTGATCCAGTCAAAGCCAAGGCGCCGCGAGCTTTCGTGGGCCATGAGCGACGAGTTGCGCCACGACTGCTTGAACGGATCAGAGAACGTGGGCACCGACATGGACTTGGCGACCCACGAGTTCATGATGCACGCAATCTCCTTGTACTTGCGCACCTTGCTGTGCAGCGACGACTGCTTCTCCGAGCTCGCGTCCTTCATCGTCTTGAAGATCGTCGCCACGTCCTTCCATGGCAAGAGGTTCTTGCTCGGCACGACGGCGCTGGACGTAGTGTCGTCGTCGACAGGTCGCGGTGTCGTGGCCCTCTTCTTGCTTTCAATCTGCTTGAGTTGGGACTGCAAATCTTGGATCTGCTGCGACAACTGCGTCGCTTCTTGCTTCTCCATCATGCGGAACCGCCGGTTGCGCTCGCGATTGTACTGCTTCTTCTTGTCGTACGCGTCTGTCGACGCCGCCTTGGCCGACTTGGTGGACGTAGCGTGCTTGGACGCCGGGCTCGACACGGCGCTGCTCATTGACGCATTGTCGTCCGTCACGTACTCGAAGCGGCTGGCCGCGTCCGGCACGACGATCGGGATCGGCGGCGGCTCCGAGACCGACGCGAGCCACTCGAGGTCGACGTCAAAGTCGCATCCGGCCGCGGCTGCGTCTACTTGGCCCATGTCCATGTCGACCATCTCGTCCGAGCTGTAGCCGCAGGATGCCATGTCGGCCAGCGAGAAGGGCGAAGATGGGACGCTCGCCATGCTGCCTCGTCGTCTTCCAGTCTGTGAATGAGGGATGGCGGTACAATTAAATACAAATCCACCCATTTTTAAATAAAAAGAGGCGCCCCTCACCCTTTGCATGCATGCAGCACCCACCTGTTTTTATTACGAGCTGGTATTAAAATACAGATGCATCCGGATAACGACGTAGTATGCGGCTGGATGTGTGCCGGTTTTTGATTGGGCGTGAAAAAGCCGGTCCTACCGTATGCCACGTATGCTATTTTAATACGTTGCTGGGACGCTTACAAAAAACAAGGTATTTTTAAAAATAGCTTCAAGATTCCTACTGATCGGCAACGAAGACGTTCTTGGTCCTCGCCTTGGCGCGAAAACGTGTACAACTTGACTGTAACTACTAGGAGTCGTTACTCACTCGACTGTTGGCACAGCTTCCTAGCGCCCGTCGCGGCCAATACCACTGGATCAGCTCTCACGACCATCTTGTTGGTGGGGCGACATCCATCATCGCCATCACAATCCTGTACGATTTCGAGTCGCCAAGATGTCCAGGCAAATGCAGTGTTGTTGTTGGAATGAGTCTATTGAGATATTATTTCCTACAGGTTTTTCTGTTTTATTTGTGTCACACGGTGGCGTAGAGAGCGTAGAGAGGCGGCCGTCTTGAGCGTGGAGCGTGGCATTTCGGTGATTTTTTGTGGGAAATCTTCATTCGTGGCCAAGTGAGTAACGACAGCCTCTTGGCCGGTCCCGATCGGTTTACCACACGGCTTTCTTCCGACTGGGTACACCGCGCAGAGGTAGGAGGTCGACCAATTGAATTTGCATGCGCGACGACCACCGGCGAGAGCGACGACCGAGTGCAGTCGCCACGGCGCCCGAAGCTTGCATGTGCAATCGCTGATCATGCAATGCTGCACAAGTGAACGGGTTGCAACATTCAACTTTAACTTTAGTTTACTAAACTACACTATACGACTAGCATTGCGCGCTAATCCAGTGGCGGTCACGGTCGATTTGTGCCGACGTGTGTGCGATCCAGCCGAGCATCGAGTGGGCGAGTTCTTGGTGCTCGTCAAAGCGGCACTTGAGCTCGTGGTTCCGGCTGCGATCGAGGTCGGCGCGCGAGTGGTGCTCGGCCTCGGCCGGCGCCTTTGTGAGTGCGTCGAGCGTGGCCGTGAGCTCGAGCACCTGCTGCTGGAGCAAGTCGGCTTCCTCGACTTCCCTGCGGCGGTACAAGCGCTGGCGCATGCGGTTGTAGAGGCGCTTGCGATGGCCGGACGGGAGGTTCTCGACGTCGAGCGCCTCGACCGTTGCTGCGTGGCTCGATGGCCGGCTCTTGTCGTCGTCGTCGTCGAGACCCGCCATCCATGCCGCGTCCGAGCTAATGCTCTGCGTGATTTGCGTTGCCCAGTTGGCCATCTCGTGCATGAAGGACGAGTACTCGTGCATGCGGCGCTTTAGTGACCGGTTCTCAACCTCGGCCGGGAGGAGCGAAGATGGACTCTGCGAGGGTCGGCCGCGGTGCTGGAGCCGCTGCAGCTCGAGCTCGAGCTCATGGATCTGCACCTTGAGCATTTGGCGCTCGTGGTTCTCGATGCGGCGGAGGTGCTGTTGCCGCTCGCGGTTGTACAAGCGCTTCTCCATAGCCTTCTGCGCCGCGTGCACCGGGCACTTGCGGCTCGGTGGCCGCGCGTCCAAGATGAAGTTGATCGACGCTTTGTTCATGCTGCAAGAAGAACGACTATGACCGCTGGCTGAGTGACCAAGCCATCTGCGACACGCCGTCGGCGTTGAGTGCGCTGCGATCAACCATTTGTATGTGAAGCTCAATTGAATATCTTTGCAGTGCAATTTGAGATGATTTGAGATGCTGAAGACGGGCCATCTGCTGGCGTCGCGAGCCCAACAGTAATCCGATCGTGTTTACTTTCTTGAGTTGTCGCCACGTGTTTTGTCCGTCGAAGCCGACGAGACACAGGTTTTGCCCACGTTTTGCCCACGCCGGTCGCGCGCTTGACGCGGCGATCGCTCGTACGCGGCGCCGATCGACGAGCACTCAGCGTCAACGTGATCTGGTAGACAGGACGACGTCGAGTCGGCTGCTGTCACGACTGCTGGCAACGTCAAATGGTCGATGGACGCTTGGGCAAAACCATCCGGTCTTGGGACAAAGTGCTGCGGGCGCGTTTTGTCACGCGAGGTACTAATCGAAGCCTGCGATGCCCCGTCCCCAGCTGGCGCAAGATACTTTCACGCGTTGGCGTTCGCTTCGGTGGCGACTGGCGATGGCTGGTGCAAAGCCGCATAGAGCAAGTGCACTGGACTGGAAGGAAGGAGTTTCCAGTGTGATATTCTCCATCATGGCTGGAGGTTGATCGCAGGGTCGTTGCATTGGGGTTGATACGGTGATGCTTGCGGCCGTCGGTCGATGATTGGTATTCTGGGTGATGGCCTACCACGAGACCCGAACGGTGTGGGACGATCGCACCCCGGTTGATTGGTCGCCGAATGCGCCACGAACGTGCTGTGCGAACCTCTGCCGCGCGTCGCCAACGAGCGTTCGGGTACCCACACGGGCAAAGTGTTCACGCAGACATACCAGCCCAGAACAACCAGAAGGCGCACTATCACGACGGTTGATTGCTGACCGCTGGTTTCGCGCTCGTAGGAATTCCATCGCAGGAGGCCAGTCGCGCTGAAACCATGATGATGGTCGTCATCTGAGACTACCCCGAGCCCTCTACGGCGCACCTTCGACGGTGATTGGCTGAAATCGAGATTGGTTCATTTTCCGGATTTGTCGTTCAAGATTCTAATCACGCGTGTCACGAGCGCGTACTGTGCGGGGTAGGGTAGTACGATTAGTTGACCATGACTGCATTAAATTGACTACATCGCAGTCGCTTCGAAGCACAACGTGCAGCGATTGCTGTATAGTTCTGCGACACTCGCAACGTACTAGTAGCGACGCACGTCGACTTCTTTTTGTCGCGCGGCAGATCCAGCAAGTTGCCAGGTTCCAAGCCCAAGACGTGGAGACGGTGTGTCGTTGTGACG